ATCTTGTATAAATGCTATTTCATTTTTGTGGTGTGATGTGATCTGATCCCTTTGTATATCAACCGAGTGGCCCCCAAATGACCTGGTACGGCCGAGAGTGGGGAGAGTCCGCTCTCCCTCTCCAAATGCTCTCACATGGTCATGCGTATATAGCCCCTGCCAGGGAAGTCCTACTCACTGCCTTCCCGTGGCGGGGATGTTGTTTACAAAAATGAGAGGATGAAAAGCGAATGTCCGGCGCTTTAACCGGACCCCAAACCAATGGTGCACATGGGCTCCAGTATCCTGAAGGAACAAGTGGCGTATGAACCAATCGTTGGTCACCGGCTACCATGGGACTGCATCTCCTCACGATGCTCCACTGCCTTGTGGGTCAGACGTTCAGGTCGAAGACTCGGGGTGTGGCCCCCTAAGAAAACCACCTGGTTCGGTTTGGGCACCCGGTCAGTATCACAGCCCTCACACAAATCAATTGAGATTCGTGTGGTGCATATGTACTTGGTGCCTCCCTGTACCTATACTTATGTGTTAAAATAAATAAAATATCAACCCAGTATGTTTGTAATATAACACTCGTATCGCGGAGGCCGATATTGACGTTGTGGACTTAACAGGTAAGGACAGTCGGAAAAGGGACCGACCAGGGCTTTAGGCTACCCGTACTGGTGTATGCGTTACTAGACAGTCGTATAAGTCAGCGCATCTAAATTGATAAATGCATTTCGCAATAATCGTATATCTAAGGATATAATACAAAGTATATCATAGTGATCTACGCACAGTCGTGTCTAACTACTGAACATTTAAATATACCTATACTACTTGAAGCAAACGGCTCAGTGAACCAAGCAAAATGGTTAGTGTAAGGTTTAAACTTAATTATCACCCTCCTCTTCAATTTCTTGGGGCCAGGCTTACGTTTGCAGCAACTATGAGGCCTATTAGTAAAAAAACGTTTCTCAGCAAGTGGACATCTTGTGCGAAAACACAAGTGACAAAAGACTAAGTCACATTAAGTGATATGCCCTAATTCAGTACATTATGAAAGTAAACTTTCCTCGCAAATCGTTGAGCAACATGTTTAGCCACAGCAAATCCACAGTCTAATTTTATTCATACATGAATCAAAAAGAAAAGCAGAGCAAATCTGAAAAACCTTACTTAGTGATATCGTGAACAAACATTGTAGATTAAGTGTTTATTAATATAGAAAATTTCGCATACCAATAAAATCATATTAATGTACACACTGTAGTAAAATACTGTGTGCACCTTAGGGTAGTACACTAAGTAAGTGGATAATCATAAACAAAGAAAGAAAACATAAAATACACCGAAAAACATTCTGTGCTTTTATACTCTACACAATGACAAAATTTGAAAACAAACAAGTGATTTGATTAGTAGAGATAAATACAGAAATATGCATAGATATATATACACAAAATAAAAACCTATACTCTCCTGGTTATCATTTGTTCCATATGCATCTTTTATAATGCAGCAGTGAAATAACAAGTAATGATCATCATGTACTAATATATAATGAGTGTAGATAATTAATCAGTTCAGTGATGCATAAGTTGTCATGTACCAGTATCAATAGACGACAATGTGATCATGATTAATTGATAATTAAATAAGATAGTCTGTCCTATTGTTCTAATTTCTTCAAAGTGGCGCATTCGACGTACAAAATTAAGAATAAAACAATGCATCGCCCAGTCGCAAAATTACACAAGAGGATGTAATATAAAAACAAAGGTTGAATGTGAAAGAGATAACAAAGACAAATCAGGCTTATAGGTTGTTGTTAGACTGACATAGGGTAATATAAATCTACCGTGAAAGTACCATACCATCCACTAATTAAAAGTTCCTTTCGAAAATTCACTCCACATTGGTTGGAACAAATGACCAGTGTGATGTAAAACGCCGATTAACAACGAATCGGGTGCGTACAAAATACTGGCTTGTAGTTGTCTTGAATCGAATTACATTGCATTTTTATGTTTCATAATATGACAATAATCACAAGAGAAAAGGAGAATAACTCGAATCTAACCAAGAGAGATTATGTATGAATAGTTAGCATAAGGGAGGTGGAGGCAGTGGCAACCATTCTCTTAGACGCAATTTTGAGAGAAAAAATTAGGCAACATCAAGTAAGAAAACAAACAGAGGCACGAACTTGACTAAACAGGGAAGCACAATGACTACGCCTGTGTGCACGATTCGGATCACGAAAACAATACTCATCGATCTGAACATGAGAAAAAAACGACTCAAATACAAATATTCATACATATATTACATAAATCAGCTTCTCTACACTAGTCAACTAATGAGAACAATATGCACGGTCATTCATGTGTGAACACAAAAATTAAAACAAGCGAAAAAATCACGGCTGAGATTCAAAACAAAAGAAAACAGAGTGAACAGTCGAAGTTATGAGAGATTATATTGTCTGTTTGTGTGTGTGTGTGTAATTGTGAGTAGTAAATATCAACCGGATAATTAGAAAAGATGGTTATGTCACCACAAACACGACGACCTACACACACACACGCGCTTGCATAGGATCGTGTTGGTGATTGTGGTGACTAGTCAGTCGATCGATAACGAGTCAGTGTGAAAATAAATTAATTATACAGGATAATAAGCTCACACATACACACAGTCTCGCCCACTTGCACGTTTACTCTATGGAAGCATCCACAACAACAACTGGAGCAATATTAAATTAATTCACATGAACTATGTTTCTTTTTCTTTCCTTCAGGCATGAGTACTGCTCGAATAGCTTCGTCGAACACATCTTTTAATCCGAACTGAGTTAAAGCAGAGCATTCCAGATACTTCACAGCTTTAATTTCTCTTGCCATTCTGCAACCCTGAATAATAACAATAGTCAATAAAAATAATCAAATGACAATTTAAAGCCTAAAACAACATCATACTGTCACTACTCATGGTACAATTCGGTCAATTAGAAAACACATTTACTGAATATTGGGAATGTGTGCTGACAATCGCGTATTGCACTGAGTATATAATAAACAATAAAGTGCTTACAATTCTTACTGTTATCTTGTGAAAAAAGACTAACTGTTTTATACCCAGTCCACCCAACACCATAATTGCCACCTGCATAAGATACTACGGATTGGATGTCGTGATGACTCAGTCGAGCTACATTACTTACAACACTGGTTCCTTTCGGTTTCATCATGCCAATCAGGTCACTATAAGGGTGTGACGGAGTAAGTTGTTTGTCTCAGAAAACGAGCATTCGGAGTGGTGCTCCGATCCCACAACAAAGAGAGGTCAGAAAAGATTGGCCCTAAAAGTAATACACCTTACGGATGATACATCACGGATTCCAATGACAAACAGTAACACCTCAGAAGTAGGAGGATAACACTTCCAAAACTACTTGGAGAAACTATGACCAGAATCACACAGATTGTCTACGTATGTTGTGGTCATGCTCTACCTGTTTCGGTCTGAGCACTCGGGCAGCATCACACTCCACACACAAATCAAGTGATTTGTGTGGCGCATATGTATTCGGTGCCCCGTTGTACCAATATTTATGTGTTCAAAAAAACAAATAAATAAAATAGTGGTCATGCTCCCACATTGTCAAGATCATTAGTCCAGTTTATTTTACAGGTCTCTCAGGAAGTATCGTTCGGCGATGTGGGCAACTGAGAAACAACAACTGTTCTCGTAAATCTAACACCACTTGAAGTCGACTTGTTTACAACAAAATTCCTTCATTTAGTTAGCCTATCGGATAGTTATCGGTTGTTTTGTACCACTCAAGACCAGACACTTCTGTCAATTCAGAAACTTTTCCTTCCAAGTAAAACAAACACAAATTTGAAATTTGTGCTTCCGATTTATTTCTAGTTCATGTACGCTTTCACCCAAACAAAAACAAACGTTGAAGGAAAACTATTTAAATGCAAACAAATAATGAAATAATCAACCCCAGAAGTCCATTAATAGACTTCATAATAACACAACAGAGCTACAAACGTTTCACAATACGATATACAGACAATCAATCTAATAACACCTGATAGACAAAAAATCACAACATTATGTAGTAAGTTACGCATTGCAGAGCATCTCGGTCAAACCGAAAGACAAGGTCTCCTCGAATTCACAATCTGACTGCATATGTTATGACTCTATATGCAAAGAGCAAACTACGAACGAATCAACATCAGAAAAAGCCACCACTGCGAAAGCTTACTTAGACCACCAAAGAACTTTATAGAACTCAAGAAATGTTTAGTCACATTGTAATCCCAGGACACTGAGTCAATATCCAATGGTCATCAACTTATCCACGAATACTTCAAAAAGTATAAAGAATAGCTTTCGGTGGAACCATTTTACAAAAATTAATAAAAGTTGAGCGAGGAAGTAAATCGGTTAAAAATAGATTCGACTTGACAAGTTTTCACTACCTAATACGGTATACACACGTGTAACAAGGATTGCACAGCTATACACAGTGACAATTAAAGGAACGTGAAATTGTTAATCAGCGAAATATGTAAAACGGAAAACCACTAAGTTGTGATTTGATAATTACACGAATACGGAATACAGATCGCCCCTCTTGTAGCTTGATTTACTATCCCCAAAAGTATGAATGATATGGTCATCATTGTAACGGAACAGTTAAAACTGAAAGTCGTGAAAAGATGATTCACGCGTGACCACGTGAGAGCATTTTGAGGAGAACGGACTAATCACCCTGGCTTAGAACTATCATTTCAATGCATGTGTAAGCGATCACGAAAGTTAACCTTATTTCATGTGTCTAACAACAAAATAACAGACATGATATTCTAATTCTGTGCAAACGTACACTTGGAGTATTACTTGATTATATACTTGCATTAAAATAATGACTGTAACCCTTCATATCAAATATAGTTAATAAAACTATGTGAACTATTTGTGAAGTAGCAACTAACCTCTGAATAGGTTACAGGTAACGTAGTAGATTTTAGACCGTTGGGACTATCTCGAAGATCCCGTTTTGTTCCGACAAGAATAATGGGAGCATTTGGAACATGGGCGGATATCTCCGGATACCATTTACTACGAACATTCTCGAATGATGTGCGACTGACCAAGGAAAAGCACAGCAAAAATACATCAGTTTGTGGATATGAGAGTGGTCTTAGTCGGTCATAATCCTCCTGACCTAAAGATAATATACGTGTTAATACAACCACGAACTTGGAAGCATTTAAATATATTTGCACTTACCGGCTGTATCCCACAAACCAAGGTTCACAGGTTTCCGGTCAACCATTACGTTAGCAGAGTAGTTATCGAAAACGGTTGGAACGTACTCACCAGGAAAGGCATTTGTCGTGTAGCTGATAAGTAAACAAGTTTTTCCGACAGCACCATCACCGACAACTACACATTTAATGGCTTGCATGAGTAGCAAGAAGCAAAAATGTAACGGTTCGTGTTTAGCCGAAAGGTATTTTGTGTATTAAGGGAACATACAGCGTAGTGTGGGTGAGGAGGGCTGGGGAGGGAAAAAAGAAAGATAAGCCTATAGTCCAGCAATCGAAAACGGACAGAAATAACACGAGAGTGAGATCAGCACAATCAGGCAGCCGAAAACCAGACAGTTTAGTCAACTCTAGTTGCGGGCAAACCCAAACTGGAACTGGCGTCGGAACAAACCCCTTAGTGAGTTGTGTATAAACTCGCAGCTAAATTAGCCGAAACTACCCAAACAAAAGTATTGACCCAAGTAATCAATTAGTAACTCTAAGTCAAAAGTCTTTTCTACCTTACCGTGTATCGCTGAAAACTGCTCAAGACTCGCGGTCAATGTGATTGTGTCTGTTGAAACAAAATGCGCTACTTTGTTTGATCTTAGACCAAATGTCATCAGCAAACAGGCATTATTATTTCTGACTTCGGCAATCTTGAACAATTATTTAAAAATGGGTTCATAAGGAAGCTCTCATGATCCACATCGCATCTAGATCTTAAATTGTTGTGAATGGAATGGAAAGAAAACACTAAATTTCCATACTCTAAATGGGTGGACTAAAATTGTTGAAGACTAGGTGAAGAGTTCTGCCATCAAACTGGTCAAAAATGCACTTCAACATTGCTGGTGCAAGGTTTGTTCGTAAGGTGCTTTTGTCTCAGTCAGCTTTAGAGTGAGGGAGTTACCTAGGTCGTGTTCGTAGTCCGCAACATGTCCGATATAGAATACTTTACACTTTGAGAGTTGTAGGTAAGTCCGTCGTCGTAAGCCCGACTCGGGTCAAGTCTTCCTGATGTCCCAGCTTATCATCTAGTCTGCAAACATCTTTCCAGAGTTTTACATCAGTAAAAACAATAAATCCAGCGATACCTGCAGAGGGAGGTCGTTTATATAAATTAAGAAAAATGAGGTCCTAGTACTGAACCCTGAGGGACTCCACTAGGGCATTTCATGGCCTGAGAAAAAGTGAAGTTTACCCTGACCTTAAGAAGTCGATTACTTAAATGTGAAATAAGCCAATCAATCAAGGGTGATTTGATACCTAACCACTTGAGCTTATTGATTAGACATATTTATCAAGAGCTTTTGAGAAGTTAAGGTGTATGACGTCAACGTTCCTCCTTCGACCAAGGATGGTTGTCCATATGTCCTTCACCGTCAGCAGGTTGTTATACAAAAATCCCCTTTCCTAAGCCGTGTTGTTGTGGCGAAAAGGAATTTACAGATAGTAAATGGTCACATAGATCATCGCATATCAGGGACTCCATAATTTTTGACGGTACGGACAGAAGTACTACTGGCCGGTAACGTGAAAGTTCGCCGAGTCAACCTCTTTTGAAAATTGATGTAATGTGAGCCACGCTTCGGCTTGCGAATGTGAGAACATCACGCCAGACGGTTTTGCCAAGATTAGGCTCCTTCTCTTAGCATGACCAAATGGACCATATTCGGAATGGGAGAAGTGTCCTTGTTTAGGTACTGCAGTTTCTGATACACGCAGTCAATGCTCAGCCTCACTCTTAAGAGTCCTGTTGAGTTGTAAGTGAAACACACGTTCATGTAGCTGGTATGGGATGGCTGAAGTGTCTGAAGGTACTGTTATGCCGGAAAGTCGGTGGCGTCACTGTCGCTGTCGGTAGGGCCATTAGGACCTAACAATTGACTTGTCAAAGAGAAACTGCATGACCGAGTAAGCTTTTCAGATTGGAAACATATTTATCGGTTAGTTTTATCTGATACTGAAGCCTGTCTTCTCTTATTGCCTTTGTGCAATGACTCCATGCTCGTTTGAACGGCCTATATCTCCTGCTTATGCTAGTTCATTAATATTGCGCTCAGTAGTGCCTTTTGCGTCTTAGCATCCGAAGGATGCGATTCTCGATAACTGCTGGTTGTCCGTAATTTTTGGGGAACTTTTTCGGGACAGACTGTTTTGTAGTACTTCAGATCGTGTGTAGCAAGAAATCCATATTAAGTCCATATTAAGTTGAGCATAGGCTTACCAGTCCACATGCGGTAGATTGATCTGTAAAGTTGACACAATCAACCGTTTGTAACTTCAACGTCTGTTGTTACTATGGTGTTTCAACCCAGTTTCGCTGGTCGAATTTGAGGCTATGAAGGAATGATTACATTTATTCAGAAGGGCCAGGATTGAGAAGTTGTCAACCAAGAATTCTTTGCTTGTAAACATTCACTCTAAGCATGAAGGCATCTGACTTTGCCTCGGGAGAGTTGTTAACCCCATATTTCCAAATAATTACAATTCTTCAATGAGACTGAAGAACCAAGCCTCAATAGAGTTGTCGCCTCCAATGTACATGTCTTCAGCGAAGTTAACTTAAGGAAGATTGAAGTTTTCTAAAATCAGGATATGAGTGTATCCAAGGCGAGTAAAGATGAATAATCCCCCCCCCCAGCACATCATTGTCGTACTCAGTGTCACTGGTGGGATTCATGTAGATGACTACACTAGACACCTCGAGGTGTTGGACGATCTTACTGAGCATCATAAATATTCATACAGAGTCATTAGCTCTTGAGCGTACACTTGGTGAGCTATCAAGCAAAGTTATAGGTATAGGGCTACTCCGCCCCTCCCAATCCCTGTTTTTCTGCCTTTGTGAAACAACGACATGCAGGGTTCGTAATTTGAGATATCAGTGTACCAGATATTCCTATCACATAACTACTATTAGTATCACTTAGTTCACTTAACTTATCCCTATTGTTTGGCATACTCATGGCCTTCGTATTTAGGCAGTTTATGCTAATGATTTGAAACGCATGAGCTTCCTCGTCCTGTTTATCTGAATGAGACTCATGTGAATGGACAGGCAATTTACCTATACAGGGTTTTCCAAGTCAGTAGCCCTTGTTCCTTGTGCGCTTTTTCCTTACCCTTGTCAGTCCGTAAGTGGAATAGTCAGTCCCAATTCGCTTTTGTGCTTGATCCTTGCACCAAGCAGCCTGTTCATATGGATGTGGATTCCAGTTGGTAACCGACGTCTCTTGACAAGAAACTCTTCGAGAGTGGAAGAAATCATTCAGGAGGATTGGAGGGCCATATTCACTAGCTGTGGTCTAGGATCCCCGTCCTTTCTGGCTAATCGCACCACTTTTTGAGTCAGTATGTTCTTGGGCTTCAGGAACTGCCTCATAAATTTCCGTTCTATAATACTAGTGTCCGTGTTTCTGGGATACCTTGCATAATGATATTTCTTCCGCAAAAGAACGTCCCATGTGATTCCTCGAGGATGTTCCTTGTGAGATCACACTCAGAATATGCTATCTTGAGTAGTGTTCTTACATTTCTGATTTCAGAAAGTGACTGGCCAGCAGAACATTCCCTACATCAGAAGTGTCGATGAACGTCTCATAAAGGAGATTTGGATGAATTTATGCTTGTAATCGTTCCTGCTGGTAAGCCGTGTAACTGTCAGTGATTCAATTTTAGGAAGTTTGAGATTACTGTTCAACTCCTCCCGGAGCATCCTATCATTTTTGTCCTGCAGAGTGAGAGCAAGGTAAAAGCTGCACTTAAAGTTCATGATTATGAGAGATTCATCTCGAACCGTGATCGTTTTCCCAGGTTTTTGGGTACGTTAAGGTTTGAGTCCTTTTTCTTTGGCAGTTGAATTGCGCTTTGGATTTCTATGGTCTTTGCTGACTGGTTGAACAACCTCAGGGGTATATTTCACAGTCAGCTCACTGGCTGATTTTCATATGAAACCTGGACTATTCAGCATTTTTGACGGTGAAACTCGATCAAACACTGGAAATATAAGTTGTTGGAGAGATCCTAGCAAAAGTTTATGACCGTAAACCAACAAACTATGCTGAAAACCGTTAAAAACGGGCGACGCAAAAGATTAAGATATACTGAAACTAGCCTCTCCGTGGAAAACTATAAAGACTAAGTAGTAAGCTGGGACAAGATTTTGATCGAATTACTCAGCGAAGAGATTTTGATTAATCACTAGTGATTTTATACTTCGACTTTGGTAGGGCCTTCATTAATGTCTTCCACAACTCTCTTCCAAAGCTTTCCTTGCTTGGTATACGGTATCCTCTATTATCCTGGTTCAAACATTTTTCCACAGAATGTTTCTATATCGTTCGCTCTGGATCTTACTACTCTTAAAACATAAATGTGACCAGTAACGTAATTCGAGGAAGTCTAATTAGCCGATTACTCCAGGTCGTCTTCATTAATGATGCTTGATTACATTCCAATTCGATCAGCCTTTCTTTATTGCTAGTGACTAAATGTGGTTTATTCATTTTTAGCTTCTACCAAAGAAAGTCATATTCAACGGTAATCGAAGGAGACATAAACGAGTGATATGAATGAACTGTGTCGCATAATCTGTCACTGAATTTCGATAAAAGCAGATCGATCTACTTTGGCCTCTGTAATGATGTAAATGTGGTCCTAAACAAACACATATTACAACCTCTCAATATGGTTCGTGACTTGGGTGTAGTAACAATATAAACATTTTCGAGCACATTGCCTCTCAAGTATCCAAAACAACAAAACTTCGAGCACTCATAACGTTAAGTTGAAATGACACTGAATATAGATTATTATTATTATGTAGAAATCTATTTTATCTTTAAAGTAGTTGTAATCAAATTGATTTGATAAAAAACAGAAGGTTTTCGAAGAAGATTTACTTAAGCTCTGTCAGGATGAATCAACAGTAAGGACCACCATCAAAGATGTAAACAACTCAAGTGAGAACATCTCTGGACCAGACACATTAAATCAAATCTTTTCATTATCTAAAACCTCACACGTGATGTTTGTTACTCTACGACTTCTATTTCCTCGTACACTATCATGCCATCTCACAACCTGCACAAAATTGAAAACCTACACAATTTCTTTATTTTTCGCTATTCAGCCATAAGGAGAATATTTCCAG